TGTCTTCGGCGAATGTTTAATAAAAAACGTTTTTGTGTCTCTAACAATGTTAATTTACTCCTCTTGAAAGAATTAAAATAGCCTTTATAAAAGGTTTTGGTCTGCTGAGCTTATCTAAAGAACATGAGTTAGAAGAACATGTTCCCGTCGTTCCCCTGTCAGCATGACGTAGTCATCATCTGACTGCAAGGTTCAAGACCTGAATTTTTATTGTCATTCAGTATTTAGCCTCTTTGACTTACTCAATGTAAAAGGAGCTTTTGCTATCCTTTGCCTTGTACATGTTGGATGAGTTGAAACTACCTTTTTGTTACACAACTCTATATGCCAGCTCTCAAATAAAAATGATTTTCAGTCATTACTATTCTCATCTCTTTAGAGATGAAGAGTTTCTTATACTTTATCAAAAGCATCACCATTGTTTTTTAAAAGTGTTATGGAATTACCAGCTTTAGATTTGAGCTGTAAAGGAAGAGAAAGTGTGAAGTGTAAAAAGACCATGAGAAAGTGGACAGTACTGATTGAACAATCTAGATGAAATGAGTTAGTTCCTGGCAATAAGGAAAATCGTAAGGCAGGTAGATAAGGCGGAATGAGAGGATGAAGAGATGTGGAATATAATTTAAACCTGAAGGTTTGAGGAGTATTGGTTCTAATTTGAATAAAATATAATAAATTAATAAACTTAAAGTCTGTAAATTTATTTAGGAACGTGAACTGACAGTACATATCTCTTTGTAATTCTTTATAAAGCTAGAGAAATGGAGGGGAGAACGCACAGTTCCGACAAAGAGAGCACCAGAATGCTCTCTCTAGAAAGCACAAGTGATCCATAGAGTAGTGCTGTAGAAGTCAGTACTCTGGTACAGAAATTACGCTCTTGCATTCTAGATTGGCATTTGAAGAACAGAAGTTACCCAGTTCACTAATAATATCATCCCTGCTATCTCTAAGGAAGCTGCCTGCCATATCTTAGAGAATATAATTTTGAATAATGTTATATTGCATTATATCTTCAGAATCATTTAATGTATCGTTACTCACAGGCATTAGTAGCATAAAATAACCTTCTACAATAGCGCAAGGTAGTGACTTTTCACTCATCTCAATATATCATGCAAGATGCTTATTTTTAATTTTTCATAATTTGATTGAACAAGTAGGCCAACAGAAAGACAATTAAGTACTTACAAAACATGTAATTTTCTCAGAGTGCAAGGATCCCAGGGGATCTCAAGCTATTCTATCATTCAAATTCTTTAGAGAGCTTGATAATATTATAACTAATCTTGAGTGCTTTGGTAATTTCTCCTAACAGTCATTGCTTTTTTGTTACAGAAACTGGTGTATGTTTATACAGATTTGTATCAAGGACAGATGTAGTTTGTTGTATGGTGCCAGAAGAGTAAACATAAGCTACAAACACCCAATCTTTCACTTAGGTTCTGCTAGGGAATTTCTGCTGCTCTTAAATTCTGAATTTGAAGGAAACTCAGCTAATTCAGAACTATTAGATGTTGTGTAAATGGAGAACATTTAAGTGAGGCTTCTTATATTTGGTAATTCTGCAGCATGCACTTGGAAGAGACTTTACACCTGATTTGAGAGTGTTGTTCCGGAGTCTAAGCTTTTGTCATCTGTTTTCCCCACCCTCCAACTATCCAACACTGTATCTGAAGATCAATAAATGTAATCAAATTTCTACAAATATAATCCATAAGGAAAACAAAATTTGAATTTGCAGATGATAGATATAATGTATAGTTATGGGCTGTATTATGTTAACATAAGTTTATTAAATTAAACAACCTCATTGCATTCTGGTGGCACTCGTCCATTAGCGGGATATCTGAAGTCTGTATTAGAAGGCTGTCATGGCATTCGGCTCAAGAAGATTCATTTTAGGAAGAAAATTGGAGAGTTCTTACTGTTTCACAGTAGGAATGTAAAACAAAGAATGAAGGGTTTCAGGTAGTGTTATTAGAGTTTGCTAGGAGTTCGGAAGGATTTTTTGTGGAGCGGGAGTAGTGTATAGTTGGAACCTTCTTTGGAACTTGGAACTAGAGAGCAGAGGAAGGAAGCCATGTGACAGTCATGTAAGAGACAGACAGTGTAAGAATGTGTTACAGTCTTACAAAGGGAATTTAAAAAGTTAAGCTTAGCATAAGTTTTTATATTGCTTTTGTGTTTGAACTTGGCAAGCTTTATTCTGAGGCATGGTCAGGAGGCCATGTATCAATATTTGGATTCTCTTTTACTCTAGAGAAAGTGTATATGACAGCCTTCCTAAAGAGGTGCATTGCATTTGTATGACCCTCTTATGATTGCTTCTAACTAGGTTGATGAACTTAGGTTCATGTGGTAAGCAGTAATCATCTGTAGTAGAACTGTATTTCTCTGCTAACTATGTCAAAAATGTGACCTGTGCAGGATGAACAAATGTGACTGTCACGTTTCAGAGCTGTGTTGATGTATGTTAGCCTCTGTGGAGTGAAGGAAAACCACCTTCTTTCCTTTTTAATTAAGGCAATCGTTTTTCTTTAGATCTTACTTCTAATCATTGTCACATTCAGCTCTTAGATCTTTATTCCATGTGAATATATGTACACACAAAATCACCACTTCCAGCAAACAACAATGCAAAGTAATTATTTTCCAAATGTGACATTCTTTTTGATCCTGTGGGAGCTTTTAAAAAGAGATTTTAAATTCATTTCCAATTTTTGAGCGCTGGTCAGTTTGTAAAAATGCTAGAATTACTGTGAGTATCCAGGTTTGCCCTTGTCTCTTCTCCAGCATACCATTTTCCTTTTTGGGTTAATCTTGCATTATGTTATGTTGTTTTTCTTGTATTTAGTGTCTGGGGCATATCTTCATTGAATGTTTTAAATAAAATTTCCTGTTTGGGAGCTGCTGTAACATCAGAGCTGCCTAGTGAGTTTGGAGAGGTGGGCTGGAGGCTAAGCTCCTCAGTAGCTGCAGTGAGGATGAAAGCACGGTATGCGTGATGGTAGTTCTTCAGTTCCTTTCAGGATGGTACCTCTTGAAAGAAGGCAGGATGGATAAACCTAAATATGTGGGTACATAAATGAGTGTGCACATGCACGTGCACATGCACGTGCATGCGCGCGCACGCACACACACACACACACACACACACACGCACGCACGCAACTTAACTCACAATTCTAGGGTTCTTTCCCAGTCAGTATTTTAACATAAAGAAACATGCTTTTAGATTCCAACAGGAGAGTTCAAAAGCCTAAATGAGAATGCTTGCCCTTACTTGCCTATCATTTGATGTAATGCACTACTAAAGATTGGCTGTATTGTGCTATTTAATGCATTTATTCCTACATTAGCTATGCTAAGGAGGGAAGTATGCTTTTCCTGTTTATAAAATGGATTCAGAGAGTTTTTCTTGTGGCACTATTAACTTGAAGTATAATGCTAATATTGCTCTTAACCAATTTCTGTTTACCCACAAAAATCTGTAGCTTGAATTAAGAGGTGCTTTAAGCTTGAGTAAGTCAGCTGCTTGCAAGTCATCAGTTGAAGTTCAAGTGCTGCTTACTCAGTCTAATAATGCAGTGAAAATGTATCTACAAGCCTGAATAAGCATACAAGTATCAGTTGCTAATGAAATCCGTTTATTTACAAATTGGAAGCCTCTTGCTCAAGCTCAGCCTAGCTCATGGTTGTGGGCCTTAGGGCTTCCCTCTGCTCAGATGGAGAAAAGACTGACTGGTATGTTACTCTATCTAATATTTCTGGATGCCTTTTGTATCCTGTGAAAGGATACATGATTAAATTAGACTTCTAAGTACCATTATGAGTTTGTGGGGTGTTTTCTGTGTCAAAGGATGAGCTGTACAGCAGCTAGTATAGGGAATGCTGAAGCAAGGCAGGATTTCAGAGCCATCGGCTTTTCAGGATTTTCTATTGGCTGAGGCATCTCTTTGGGTATGGCTGGTTCACGCCTCTGTAACACATCCCATGACAGCTCCTTCTACTGTCCTCCTGGGGGAGAGGGGATTCTAGACCCTCTTAGCTAGGGTCTGATAAGGCTAATTCAATACATTCCTCCCTTCCCCCCCCCTCCCCCACTTAGCGGCAAAGCTGTGGGAAGGAAGATTTCCCATCCCTCCTAATTCTGGATAGAGGAGGACTCACAGGAAAGGGCACATCTCCAGAGCTCAAAATGCATTTTTTGTTTCTGGGGAGTGTGGTTATGATAGGGTTCCGCAGTCTTGTTGCAGTCATGTTGTATGCCTCAGTGAGCCCTGTTGGTTTAGTTTTCTCAGCTTATCTAGGAGGCTTAGACATGGAAAGATGCCACTATTCTCTGCCCCTCTGATTTGGAAGA